GAAAATTAAATGTACCATCCTACAGTAAAGATAGTTTAATTATTTATTTTATTTTATAATTTATTAAAAAAGTAGTCATAAAATAAATGAATGAATGAAATAAAAAAAAATAATAAAGGAAAAACACAATTTAAAAATGACTTTTTCATTAACAAAATCAGCAATAATTTATCAAATAAAGCATTTCAAAACTTCCATGGAAACAACCTAAAAATGTAATTCAAGCTGCTTGCGTTAGGAACGAATACTCAAGTCGCAGTCTTACAAAAAAGGAAGTGTACCATTTCGTCCTACTGCCAAATGAGAAAAAATATCCACCTTCCAACATAACTGAAATCCAGTCTCCTGAAGAGAGCCTATGTATTTAGACAATGTCCTGCATAACATCTTCCGTCATGAAACCAAAGCACAGACAAAACTGGCATTTGATGGGATTCCCAAGTGAACCATGAGATACTGTGTGAGATGCCAAAAGGCAAATCCATTGCTCTCCACATCACATTACATAGACTTGAGTTCATTTGGCTAACCTATCAGAAACCGATCTCAAACAAGCTGCCTTGTCTGACGACTGGCATTAATAACAATGATAGATGTTATCAAAATTTCTTAGTTACCGATTGGTAGGTAAAGCCTTTCATTTACATTTTCACACACAAAGTGTGTTTTCAAAACAAAGAGAGAGAAGAGAGGTGTAAAAGAGGCAGAGAGCACCTGAACATCATTTGTGAGAAACTGACAAGGAGTGAAAGACAGCGAATTTGTCATAAGAAAACAAAACACAACGTTCCAGTTCAAAGACCACAACTCAGAAATCAGCACTCACCTGCCTTCATAGGACGGAAGTTCAGCACGTCACCTGTGCATCAGCCTCTAAGTCACATCCAAGTGGGTACCATCAACACAGTCTCAAGAGCGGAGGGGCTCTGCTCTTGGATGCAGAAAAGGGAGGGGGAGACAGCCCAGAAAAACCCTCCTAAATCCTCCACTCACACAGAGTGCTGTGCTGGTCCAATTCCACCGGACAACCGCCAAAGACAAGAATGGCAAACACGGCCCAATCCGTGCTTCAGGGTACGCTTGATTTCAAAGAGCAAAAGTCTGGAGAAAGTGATCCCAGAATGAGAGGACAGAGAAGGAGTGAGAGAGTGGGTTCCCTGTACGGATCTACTGAAGGGAGACGCATCAGAGGCAGGCGCTACCTTTTGCACCAGGGATAGTGTTAAAGTTAATCTGAGATCGTTTTTTGGGGGGGAGTCAGGGGGAGGATAGGAGGGTCAGAGGGAAGAGAGAGGGGTGGGGATGGAGAGTGGGGTTGAGACTTTCGAAAGAGGGAAAGAATAAAAAAAGAACAAGAACAGAATGGCGAAGAAAGAGTGGATGAGAGAAGGGGGTAGAGCTGAGGACCAGTGAAAGGTGGCGTTTGGTAAGTAACTGAAGGGAAATATTGAAACTAGAGCCGTAAGCACAAAGAGGATTTCTGAAGAAAATGTCAGGCCTTTGGATCTAACTCCAATTCCCTAGATATCAGCCCTCTCCATAGCTAGTGCACAGTCCACTGCATCTCTTCTGGGGCTCTTCAGCCCACCCTTGGGGCATTTATTTACAAAAGAAAACACGGCAGAAAAACATAGCTTTATTTGATTAAAAAAAAAGGAGAAGAGCTTGGGTTACCACATTAACATGAATCCGCTTAGACACTCCATGTGTGTGCGTGAGTGAGTGAATCAGTGCTCCCCCTCCTGTCTTACTGGCCTCCTTGCACCAATTAAGGACAGCCTCATTTGCAACAGCTCACTCAACCCTGGGTTGATCTCCAAATGGGGCTCATTTCCATAGATGCAGTGGTGAGATAACGACAAAAAGGGGGGAAATCATTGGTGCATCCACAGTGATAGGGTCTGGGAAGGAGATGGGAGCAAGATCTGAGTCAGACTCACCATTGTTTCTAGGAGGACAGTGGACGTAACTAGATACCAGAGGGGGGCAGGATGTGTGAAAGCCGACTGGACGAACGCAGACCCCAGATTCCCTGTGACCAATGTGGGGGTCCCAGCGGAGGGTTCTTTTACACCTTGTTGCTTTGTTGTGTAAATGCAGACCATACTCTTAACCAAACTAGTGCATAACAAGGACATAGAGAATTTGACAAAGAGTGCAATGTGGTCCCAGACTGATTGTTGGACAGTTGAATCATCTTGTGCTGGAATGACCAGATACAGAAGAAAGAGTGAGTAAGGACAAAAAGGAGACAGCAATCCTTATCTTCTCACCATCATCTACTTCTGCTGTTGTAATTACTTACTAACAGGGTTTATCATTCTGTCTTGCTTTTTTTTAGTTGTCCCTCATTCTACTTCATGTTGACCTATAAACAGAAACATTGTGGTTGTGGAATAGGTCAACTCAGCTGAGATAATCCTGCATCTTTACAACCAAATCTTTACAAAGTTTCAGTCCCACCAAGAACAAGAGATGGCTATGAGCTTGATGATAAGCATTAACTCCACTGTCTGGGCATTGGAGTCAAGTGTCTGATAAAATGTAATCGCAAACTGTCAGCCCCATCAACCACCTGCCAACCAAACCTGGCAGATTGAAATCAGGCTGACTGAATTACCATAATGTCAGCGGGTACAACGAGGGCCTTTGGAGTCATCGAGCAGCTTCCGTGGGAAAGGACTCAAGCATAGATGAGAGCACTAATGCTGCAGTTGCTTGCTGGTAGGTTCACCAAGCCTGACCCTGTATGCTAGAAAAGGTCCTGGACAAGAACCTGGCTGGGTCATCCAATATCTTAATTTTCATCCAAACCCCCTTGATGCATCCTACGCCAAGCAGTTGTTTTGCCCTCATTTTCTTTCCTTTCCTCAACAATGTCAAGCCCCCTTAAGGTAACTCAAACCTTCTCAGAAAACATCTCCCCCTCCTGGCCACACAATGAGCTTCCTTCAGCCTTCCATGCTTTATGGTGAACAGGGTAGATCAGGCTACCAGTTGCCCAGCCAGTTCTTTTTGCCCTGCTACAGAGTGAGGCGATAAAAAAAAAAAACTTTCTTAAAACCCCCACCTATCCAAAACACACCAAATCCCTCAACAGCTCCCAGTGTGACCTTGCCTTTGTAGCCCACCCCTGCTTTCATGCCCTGGCAACCCCTTGTCCCTCTTCCCTCAGATTGGCACAACTCTCTGTGTTGCCGATCCACCAGTGAACTCTGGCTACAGCTGCACTCTGGGAGGCTATGCTACCCAATAGTTAGGCCGCTAAAGAGATGGATGTTTTTTAAGCCTTGGTTTTTAAGACAGAGCTGTGGCTGAGTCTGAGAGTGTGACATCGATGCCAGATTTGGCACGTGTAGCTTTCACCTGTAGGCGTGACAGGAATAGGTCAGCACTTCCAAACGTGGTGAAACCAATTAGGCAGGATGCTTTTTCTCAGCCAAACCACTGTGGTGATCCAGGTGGCAGGCTAGCTTGTGGCTGTCTGGCTGGATAGACTCCAGTTGGATGCTAGCATTTGCCTAGGCTCTTGGTGAGGTCTCCACAGTGGCTTATCCTACTACGACAACAAAAGAGGAGCATATACAAGAAAGCACAGCAAACTAAATAAAAGGCAACAGGTATAGGTAACCCTGGTGAAATAAACAAGATAAAAGATCATACAATTTGTGCTCAATACATTACCTTATCACCAGCTTATCCAGAAAAACTACCATAGCCTTAGATTCACCAGAGTATAATGGTCATCAAGCTCTACCAGTTTTGCAGATTCAACAGCTGGACCAGCTGAACCATAACATTGGGGATCTCTAGATACTGTTGTTAACTTAATTAACATTAACACATCTTTGCCCATGTCAGATGAAACGTAATTTTAAGTCCAATAACAATAAAACAAATTTAATTAAAAGGGGAAACTTCAGCTTGGGGGACATTAAGACTCTTATGAATTTCATGCAAAGCCTTGGCTTCTGTTTATTCTTAAAAATTTTCAGTACTATGGCATTCTACAGAACTCCACATAATGGTAAAATACAATTAACATCTTTTACAGCAATATTCCATGTCAATGTTCACATATTCATTAATACTTAATGATTATCCATGGCCCAAGCCATTTTTTTTTTATTTAATCCGTAAAACACCATTATACAGACCCAGCAATAGGTAAATATTTCAGCACCTACTCTGTTAACAATTCCACCATTAAAGGCCTGATGTCCTTTGGGAGCAGAACAGAGAGGATCAAGTGTCATCACCACAGCCAAAACACAATGAGAACAAAATATGAGCAATGAGAAACTTGTAGAGACACAGGTACTGCTGAAAGATGGGAGAAAAGGGGTGCCCAAGCACACAGACTGTGGTTTGTATGAGAACATGCAGTTCTATCTAGTGACACATTGGCATAGAGCAGATTATTATCCAAATGAGGACATTAGTAAGTATTATAAGGGATTTCCAATTATCAGTGGAGAATACAATTACGCAGAAAAGAGGTAAACAAATGTAGCAACAATTTGATATAGGATTTGGGCAAAAATATGACAATTAAGCTCAATTTCCAGTGATAGGACACAATTGAAACAGTGATGGGACTTTTAAACATAACAGATCATCAGTGTGACATATGCGGTTACACTGAAACAAAGATGTCTCAATATCTGCCAACAATATTAATGCAGGCTCTTCTCCTATCAATAGTGATATTATAGTTAATCTGAGCCCCTAATGGATTCTGAGCTCCCTGTTAACACCTTCCTCTGGGATAGGGTTACATAGAGACAGCTTGGTAACTAGAGAGGGAGTCTATATACTATATCAGACACTCTAACATTAGAGCCATTCTGCTAGGAAATGGTATGGGAGTGAACAGGAAAAGCCCTGGTAATCCAATTCTTGAAATGTATAGACTGGTAGGCTATGTGCTGACTTTGGTTAAATAAACAAGACCATAAAGACTGAATGTTAACATGTTAAAACTAGTCTCACAATCTGTATAAAACCTTTATAAGTGATTTTTATTTAGTTTGAGACTGAGAAAAGGGCATGTCTTAAGTTAACTTACAATTCTCTGTGGTAAGGGACCTAATACTTAGGAATGGATTGACAGTCATTTGTGAGCTATTAAGTAGACAGAATAAGGATATTTGTGTATGGCTGTCCCTTAATGTTTCATGTCTTAACAAATGGCAACAGTAATATCTTCAAATTCCATTAAAACCTTAGCCTGGCTAACGTCAGACCACGTCTCATTGACATTGAGGTCTAGGAACCACATGTTCATTTTCTCGTATTTGAGGCGTGGTTTATGAAAGCCCAGAGCCGTTTATTGGGTGCTACGAATGTCTATCAAATGCGCCTGTACGTAGCTCATAGCCAATCATTTCAATTAGATGACGTATGTAGAGCGACAGAAATTAGACGAGGAAGAAGATGATGGGTCAGAGATTTATTTGCGTTCTAAACTACTTGGAACAATATCCAAGGCTGCATCGAAAGGTAACTTCGCGTCTGCTGCCATGTTTGATCCATAGGTATAAACAAACTGCTTCAGTGTGTCGCATAGACGTCGTCATCGTCTTGCTGCTCCCTCCCTGTTCTGTGATTGGTCCCCTCGCTGAGGCGAAAATTTGGTCCATGGTATCCAGACTGCCTAGCAGCATGAATAAAATCGTGCTGCGCAAAGGCAGTATGGGGAAACCCAGGCTATTAAAACCTATAAAATATTGAGATGATAAAAAAATTATTAAAAATAAAAGTCAGTCAAAATTAAATAATTCAAAGTGTTCCACATTTCCGCTTAAAAAAACAACATCATATCTACAGTAACTTAAATGAAATATTGCTAAATTCTCATTATTATTGGTCCCCTCTAGCTTTCTTTCTCTGGAACATGGGAGTGATAATAATAAATAAATGCAGGTTTATAACCCAACAGCACATGCTCTTCTTTGCACATCAGTACGAGTATGGCATCTACATACTCCAAAGAATCTTTCCACCATTGAGAAAGGTTGCAGAGGTCTTGCTGAAAACATGCCTGATTATCCGGTGACTAGGGGATTGCAGTCAGTCTGTGGTCATAATAGGGGGAGCCACGTTTGTGAATGTAAAGTGTGTAAACCTTAGAGGGCTTCAGGCTTGTAGGTGACCCTGCTGTAATTCAAGCAGAAAAGAAGTGGCTGGTGTTACAGCTGGAGGACAGAGTTCACTTTCTATATGCCCCCCTCCCCATGCCAGACCACCTACTCATCTAATGGGCCTAATTTTATGTTAAGGGTAGCCCTCAGGTAGCCCTAGATCTCCCCTTCTCTAAGCATTCACATTCTACAGATATTTAATTTGTATTCAGTAATTTAGACATTTTTCAAGTCTAGCCAAGATGTCTATCCATTGTCAAGTTTTTTTTTAGGAAATGTAGACCGCAGTGTCTTGAGTGAAAAGCATGTTTAGCTTAAATGTCTGGAGACACCTACCTCATTGTAGGAACACAAGTAAATTAGGGGCAGTGACTGTTATTTCTGTACGACACTATACTGTATGATCGTATAACAAGTATAAGTATCTTGGTATTGTGTTATCAAGGTTCTTAAAGCTGCAGTATGAAAGATGTTTTGTTTAAAAATTAACATAATAAATAAATTATTGAGCAAATATGCCTTGCCTTACCCCGTTTCACGATGGTAATCTTATAATGATTTCTAATTTAAGATGTTTGGTCGAAATTTCATAGGAAATTACACTTTTACATCATTCGTGTTTGTGTGGTAACATCACATCTATAAAAAAATAGAAGAAAGTCTGACTTTTACAGCATGTGTATGATTCAGTGGAAGGTTTGTTAATAGATATCTAGCAATCATTATGTCTAATTTCAGGGTTGCCAAACTTTTGTAACATGATTTATTTTAAAATGATTGTTTACAATGAGTCAAAACAACTGTGGAAGACAGTTACCTGCAACAAAAAATGTTATTTATAGATATTTGTCTTTTTTGTCTTTATTTACTTTTTACATTATGTCTTTAAAACATTAAGAAGGGGGCAAATTTTGACATTCTTAATGACATTCACTCTTATAAAATTATTGCCTGTACCTCAAACCATCATATTCATCTGAGACAAAAACCCAACTCACATAATTACCAAAACAATGTATAATTACCCCCCAATGTATTAAATAACACATAATTACCCCCCCCCCCCCCCCTCCCCTCCCTCAATTAATTATACCTTCATCGCAAAGTGGCCAAATATTCTGTACAGCACCTTTAGTAATGGGTAAAATACTCTTTAGAGTAGAGGCATGTATGGGGTTGAGGGTAATTCCTGAGAAGCTGTCTCATAAACACACATCAATGAAAATGATTAAATCCACACATTTTTAGCATACATGCTGTACATACATCCACAGAGCAGTGGAAGTTAAAAAAGGGGTTTTAATCCTAATCCAAAATCTCTTTTTTTAAAACTATTTTACATACGATTGAAGATGCTGGGAAAAATTTGCAGTTTTTCTCTGTTGTAAATATAAGGCATGCGGACTTGTGCACTGTTCGCAGCATTCACATTGCCTTTATTGGAAGATGGTATTCCAATAAATGTGGAAACATCGTAATTTTTTTCCCAAACAGTGCCCAGCTGTTGCTCTCTTTTCAGTCACTGTGTCTTAGGCACCACCAAGATCTCATCTCCATCTCGTATACTGTAGGAATGAAGTGCTCGAGCTCCATATTTCATCTCCTGAGGCTCTAACGCGTAGCCAAGCTGCCGGTCGATATAGTACACACGTATCTTGTTTGGAGGTAGCTGGACCACGGCTCTCAACTGCTTCTTTAGGTCTCCCACTGTCTGATCCAATCTGAGCGCTAGGGGCTCTGTCTGGTCCCTGAAATGCACCTCTACTTGGACATGGCAGAGAGGGCGCAAATCCACTTCCGCAAGTGGGGCTAGGCGGCCATAGCGTGCTACCAAAGTGTGGTACCTGAAAAGAGTGGACAGCAGTGAGGAAAGAACCATGTGAGTTTAGCCCATGCTATTTTTGCTGCTACACCCAGTGAACCATTTATGTTAAAACAAAATGCTGAGTGGATTTTAGTTAAAAAGACAGAAAGACTGTGAAGAAAACAAACATAGAGAAAATATACAATAGCTCTGTTCTAAAACCTAGTGAATTGCCTACATAGAAAGCATTTTGAACCATCATAGGCATACTCACAGAGACTATTATTCCAGACAGTAGGCAGCAACATTTTGCTTACTTTTAAAAATAAATTGTTTTGGCCAAACTGTAAGTACTACTTTTACTACTACTAATGATAATGTTGATTAAAAATGTGCAGTGTTGTTGGGTCCTCAGGACCAGGGTTAAGAATGACTGCTGTTTACCTTTTTCCTGAGTAAACGACGAGCGCCGCCATGATGGATTCTAACCTCCGTGAGAATGCCGTTTACATTTACATTTATCTGACGCTTTTATCCAAAGCAACTTACAATTGCTATAGATGTCAGAGGTTGTACGCCTCTGGAGCAACTAGGGGTTACGTGTCTCCGAACCCGGGTCTCTCACACCAAAGGCATGTGTCTTATCCATTGCGCCATCACCACCCCCATAGCTTGCAACGCATTCTCATCCTAGGGCGTCATATTTGACATATTTTGACATTTCGTCTACATCCAACGCACATGGCACCCTTTAGCGTCAATATGAGACGCAGATAGATATGGGCTAAAGGGTGCCATGTGCGTTGGATGTAGACGAAATGTCAAAAGCGTCAGTATATGACGCCTTGGGATGAGAACGGGCTGTATCTTGCTATCTTGTTCCAGTCACCATAGGAACTTATTGTTAAAACGGGGTGAAAAGAGCGTCTGAATTAATTAAACATAAGCACAGTGTTATGCTGCGCTGTTGTTGGCTACCACAACTGCAATAAACAATAGAAATTTCTTAAGTATGCAAATCTGAAAAGAACGTCCATATGGCGCCATATGCCATGCATTTTATGCCAAAGACTGACAAGAGAATCTACGCACTCATTAAACTTTGATGGGTATGTCACTAACAAAAAACAGCCATTGTGACACTGTAAAGGGATGGCACTATGGAGCCATGTGCTGTTTTTAAACCATTTTCATAGGTTTAATGTTGAGTTGGCTGAGACTTCCATGTTCAGGAAAGAGGTGGATAGAGTGCTGCAGGACCGAGTTAGCTTAGTAATATGAAAACACTATTGGAATCAATTGTGGGGTCAAGTTTATTACTTTTACATTAGAACACAATGTGTGTGAGATGCTGCCTATGTAGATTGTTCCAATTTTTAATTCAGTTCAAAGTGAGGTTTGTTGCTTTAGAAGGCAGCTGCAAGGCCCTGGACTTGCAAGTCTACTCACAAGGTTTTGGAACAGAGCTATTGGGCTACAAAAGCCCAGGTTAAGCTAACTTGTACTTGATAAATACTTGCAAAACCTGGTATGTTGACATGTGGTTTTCATCAAAAATGTCAATCACACTTAAATGTTTAAGAAAGACAACTCCTACAAACCAATTTACAGGCGAAATTAATATCAATGCACCAAAAAAGTGACCATAGAGTTGTGTGTTTGTGAGAAGACATGGTTGTGTATTTGTATACCTGTTTGTGTGCTTGTACAGCACACTGAGTTTTTAAACTCTGAGAAAGTTCTCACCACCACCCCTTTTTGCCCTCCCTTCTTTCCCATCTTGCTGAAGGATTGTGGGAAAGATAAGAGGAGATCGGCAGGGACAATTAAATAAAATCTCCACAAAAAAGTCTTTTAGCTTTAGAGGGCTACAGTAACCGACACAGCCAATCAAAGTAATTTCCCCTGCCTGTCCAGAAAAGTCTCCCCACAAAGCAGAGCCTGAGCCTGGGTAGGTGCCTGTGGCTCCCTGCCTTCACCATGGGAATACTGCCCCCTCTATACAAAGTGCCACTCTGTCTGAGAGAAAGAACAGTCTCACTCAAGGGTCTCATTTAGTGTGGCTAAGCTCCTTAAATGAAGGCGAATGGGTGTTCGCTGTGATAACATAGCTGCCTTGGATTCCTCAAACAGTGCTTAGATCAGTCTCGAAGATGGGATCGGACAGTCGCCACCATGCAGTGTTCATAGTAGAGCCATACAGTGAGTCTACTGTAGATACTGCATTTGTTGATGGCCTCAAAAACAACATGATCTGTTTTCAGGTAGATAACATGCACAATCACCATTAGCTAAATATTTAGATATTTACAACTTAACTTCACAAATATCTCCTGGGACCCAAGGAAATTCATCCGTCATTTACTTGTCAGCAATTTGGCTTTTTATCTAAAGCAACTTCAGTACATTACAGTGGCAGTCACCCTGGATGAACCTGGGGTAAGTGACTCTTTGAAAGGCACAGCAGAGAGACAGAATCTTAGGCTTTGTTCACACCCCAAACAACTGTAATCTGTGTTATCCAGTCTTTAGGACTGACAGTCATTTTGCATCAGTTGAAATCTGTTTTTTCGTCTCTGATCTGTTTTTTAGACAGTGTAGGCAATAACTAGAATATCTACATGGGTTGCTCTAGTAATGATGTAAGTGGTTGCATGAGACCAAGAGCATTGTTTTCTTTTCCAACTGAAAGTTACACAAGATAAAATAAGAGACAACAAAACAAGAGTCTTTTTTTTTTTTTTTTTTTTTTTTTACCTATTCACTATACAGCATATTTTTACACAGTTCACTACAGGGTCCATGATAAGATTTTTATGAATGAAACCCAGTCATTTGGCCTCAGTGAGCCCCGGACAATTTTGCCAGTTGTCCCTCCCGACAACAGCTCTGATTTATTATGAAAATGAATTGAAATGAATTTGGATATACCTGTGTATACACTACTGCACATTGTGTATGATGTTACATACATGTTGTGTCCTGAGTGATGATAAAAAGTACTTGAAATTCGATCTGATCACTGAAATGCATTTAAGTCTAATTTTGTTCATGTCAAAAAAGAAATGTTTTGAGTTGAATATGCCAAGCATTATTAACCCAGGTCCTTCACCTCGAGCTATCACAATCTCAATGTAGACACCACAATACCCTTAAATTCATTAAAACATAGATGGGGATTTGTTCCCTTAAATGGGAACAAGACTTGTCTATGTTTTCTATGAATCATTCTATCATGACATATTTAGCATCAACATCTACCATGATGGATGCTAAAGAGCCTGGTTACTCCATCCACTTATCTTCTTAAATTTCTCATTGTCTGTAAAGAGTGATGCACTTAGATTTTCCCTATACATTTGCCTTCTTACATCCTTGTAAGACAACAAGGTCCCAGGCTATGGTTACTCCAAGACGGTAAGACCAATATCCCCTTTCATTTCCTTCACACTCTCCTCCTCACATCCCCCACTCTGCTATCATTCCTGTGTTTCCAATTACTCTAGGGAGGATCAACGTGCCCATTGCCATGGCTCAGGTTTTAGTTACTCAAAGGCTGTTGAATGTATAGGACTCCTTCACCTATTTCACCCTCTTACCTATATAGCCTACACTATGTAAATAGTGTACCTCACAGTTGCCTAATGGAGGGTGACTAGGACCAGTTTGTTTGGCAGCCTTGGTACAACTAAACTAAAGCTAAAGTATTTAACACTTTAACAGTGCAAATAGCTATTCTCGTGCCTATAAAATAGTTTCTATAAAATAATACACTAAATAATGCATATAAGCCTCATCTAGGAAATAGATGTGAGCAATCAAGCAGTGAAGGGTTTGAATTACACTAGTCAGCACTCAAATCTCAAAATCTTTTCAGCTTTATAAAGATAACAGTCTCATGCCTACTTATGCCTAAAGTTTATGTCTAAGCAACCGTAAATGCGACTAAGGTTACTGAAATCACTTTGAAAGTCTCTCAAATGGTTCTATCCATTACTTTATGCTACCACAGTTTGAGTCTCATAAATTAGGCTGAATGGGTCTTTGCATTGGTTACGTCTCATGCATTCAAAGAGGGCCCAGTCTAAAGGTGTGTTTGAGGTCAGAGAGGCATAATTTCTTTCTGTCCATTTCTTTCACTATTTCTCAGATCTTTACCCTCTTTCAGAGTTTTATCACAGAGTCGGTAACATAGCCTAAGCTCTGATCTGCACCTGAGGGGTGGGGGCAAGAGCAGGCTGGGTTCAAAAAGGGGGCAACCTTAACCCATATCTAGAGTTTGCCATCTAATTCTGCACCTGCCCTTTCACCCTCTAGTGCCAACTCTCATCTCAACCTCATCCCTCTGGGAAAATGGTTTTCCCTCCAAAGAAACAGACAGAAAGGGCCAGAGAAAAAGAAATAGAGAGGATGTGGATGGTGTGAGGAGGTCAGAAATTAGGGTCAGTGTACCTTGGTTTTAATTTACAAAGGAGTTGGAAAGAAAGTCTCTGAATAAGTGGTCTCGTGGGCACAAGAAGAAACAAATTGAAAAAATGACTTGTAAAGGAATAGTTCACTTTTTCATTAAAGATTTCTTATGTCTTTTGAAACACTTATGATTTTCTTTCTTCTTTCGAACAATAAATATACAGGTGAAACTCGAAAAATGTGAATATCATGGAAAAGTTAATTTATTTCAGTAATTCAACTTAAAAGGTGAAACTAATATATTATATAGATTCATTACATGCAAAGTGAGATATTTCTTACAGCTTGTGAAAACCCCAAATTCAAAATTAGAACATTGTGAAAAGTTTTCATAAGCTGTAAGACATAATCATCAAAATTATAACAAAAAAAGGCTTGAAATATCTCACTTTGCATGTAATGAGTCTATATAATACACTCACCTAAAGGATTATTAGGAACACATACTAATACTGTGTTTGACCCCCTTTCACCTTCAGAACTGCCTTAATTCTATGTGGCATTGATTCAACAAGGTGCTGAAAGCATTCTTTAGAAATGTTGGCCCATATTGATAGGATAGCATCTTGC